ACAGAGAAGGAATTTTGTGTTCTGAAACAGACAATATCACCAAAGAATGTTTGTCTTACTTAATAGATTACTTTGAAATTGTCTGTGAAATTCACGTTGCACAATGATGAGTGATTTCAACTTTGCGTAACATGAAATGCCTTCTCTTTTGCAGAATCATCAGTTTTGTTTATGGTGCTTCCTAGTAATAGTAATAGTAACAGTAAATAAGACATTTGAATGCAGATGGAAGATGAAATTTGGACAATTACTCTATTGAACTGGGTGTATGTTGCATACTTCTTGGATAATAATTAACACAATTACAGTGTATTTAAAATTGTAGTATACATTTTGGAAGACCCTGAATATTAGTTGAGTAACTGAAATATTATGATCAATATTTAATGTACAGTATACAACAATAATATAAAAAACTTGCATGTTTTAAACTTTATTTTTTGTGGTTTGCAAATAACTTATTCTGACCTAAAATTGCTTACAATGCTATCATCTATATATATTATATAGTATTACATGAATATACATAGTAGGATACAAAAAGCTAGCGAATGTGGTATATAGTTCCTTTCCTTGAATAACTTAAAACATTGACGCACAACTATCTTCCAAAGAATCCCCTTGGGACAATACATTTTTTCCAGCACTTGTACAGCTTCTGGAAGCATTACAAACATAGCTAACTTTTGCAATCACCTGTAATGCCTCCTGCAATGCCACTTTTATCTCATTCAATGATTTAAAACGGCATCATAAATGGCCTGAGATTGTTTTGAATCATCAAATAAGGTAAGAGAAGCATTGCAGGAGGCATTACAGGTGATTGCAAAAGATGGCTTACAGCAATGCTTCCAGAAGCTGTACAAGTGTTGGAAAATGTGTATCGTCATTCAAGGGGATTCTCTTGAAGTTGGTTGTGTGTCAGTGTTTTAAGCTATTCAAGGCAAGGAACTGTGCTAAGTGCCTGAACTTTTGGATCCTACCATATATGTATTATTTTGGACAATCTCCATTAAAAAATAAAATGAATATGAGATGAAATTTTAAAATAATCTTGGTGTAGATTTCAAGTCAAAACTAATTATATTCTTGTGATGCAGAATTTTTCTAAGTTCTTGCACCTCAAAATGGAATCATTACTTAAGCTCAAAAATCCCTGAATCAGGAAAACTTAATGTAAAAATTAAGCTTTGGATTATTGCTTATTTCTTTTACAAATTAGAAATCAGATATATTCAAGTAGTTGCACCACTTCCTTATATGTAAATATCATTTTTTTTCCTTATTTTGGATAAAATTTTTGGTAATAAAAAGTACAGAGCAAGATTTTTCAAGTGTTAAAGGTGTACTGACATGAAAATTTATTTATTTGGAATCTCCAAAAAATCTATGATTTGTATGATTCAAGATGGAGTAAAACTAGAGAATGACAAATTAGATAATTTAAGTTATGGCAACTTGACTTACATTTTATTAAAATGTATTTTTTCCTTGACTTTTTAAATTTAAATAAATTTTTAATTCACGAGATTATTACTTTATCTTTTTAAGAATTATAAACATATATATTATGTCATTTTGTTTCATTTTAGACATTTTTATATAGATTTCATACACATCTGTATTGTTCTTATACATTTAAACAATATAATAATCTTTTGTGGTAATTAGATTAAGAGGAGTCTCTAACAATTAAATCCATCAAGACACTATTATTATTAAAACCGAGGCAGTTAAGGCATCTGCCTGTAGCTCTGGAGGATCTGTGATTGAATCTGAGTGAGTAACCCCTAAAAAATTTTCACGGGCAGGCCATTCTGGATATGTCAATCTCTGTCCCTTGGCACCCTGATCCCACTGTGGGCCAGGTTCAACCCATAATGGATATGAAAAAAAAGGAGCCATAAGGTGGAGAGCAAAAAAAAAAAAATAAAGAGAGAGAACAAACTGATATCCAGACAGAAACTACACTGAGCATATTCAAATCCAAGAGTGAGCAATTCAGTGATTGAAACATTAAAAAATTAACGACAGTGAATTTTGGATGAGAGATTATTATTTAAAGCTCATTTTGATTTGAAATATGTAACCAGTGTTAAAATATTGAGTAAATATAAGGTGGATCAATAAATAACCAGCCAAGAGCAACCTGCCAGGCTTTTTAACTTATGTATCAATCCATCCTTCTAGTATAATTGTTTTATTTTTATTATAATATAAATTTTGGAAATTTAATCAATTTAGAATAATCAGATTTTAAGCAACTTTATGCCGCTACAATTTAAATAATGTCAATACTAATTTATAAATAATCAGACTGATTCAATTTATTTTCAATCATAACTTTAGTTCTTCTGTGTTTCATTTTGATATCATGCAAAATATAGATAAATTTGAAAATTTTTATCAAAGCCTAATAAAATATCACGTTACAAATACTTTTTTTAAAAAAAATAAAGTAACAAATTAATTTGTAACCACCGAAGGATATACAGTAAGATCCCACTTAATGATGATTTGATATAACACAGTCTGCTCGAAGCCTAAAAAAAAAAGGTCAAAATTTACGCTGATTTTAATTTTCGTGGCATTTCATTGATTTGTATATAATATGATTATTTGTGAACACAAACCAATAAGCAAAACATGGCAAAAAGTTGTACTTTCTTCGGTGCAATTTTGGAAAAAAATATATCATCATGGATGCCATAAGAAATATCGATTTTGCTTGGCAAGAATTAACTGATAAATGCACGAATGAAGTGTGGAAGAAGTTATGGCTGAAGGTATCCAAGAATTGTCAACGAGAAGAGCCTGTTGCTGTACCAAAGTCAACCTAATTGATACAACAGGACTAGGAGATGGAGATAAACAGGATATTGAGGTTTCTGGTGAGAGTCTTACCAATGACAACCTTCAAGAACTGGCAGAACAAGGAATTCGTATAGAACTGAAAACATGGAACTAAAAAATTTCTCTACAGATTTCCTTAGTAAGAGTTTGGTAACAATAACCGAAATCATTGATCAAATTGTAGCGAATGATCCAGATTTTAAAAGGAGTGCAGAAGCAAAATGAAGCATTTTGGATGTGATCTTCTGCTACCGACATTTGCTTAAGGAAAGAAAGAAGTTTAATTTGTCACAAATGAAACTTAATGACTTTTCTGAAATTCTTGTGTTTTTGCAATAAAGTCAGGACCTTCATCACAAAAAATGAACTTAACACAAAACGTATGCACACAAAAATATAATTTAACATATATTATTATACAAATTAATATAAAAATAACTTAAAATTAAAGTAAAATTTGTTTATTTTTGGTCACGTGTTCCCTTATCCCTATTTAATCTATGTTAAAATAACGTCGTTTAATGCTGTTTCGTTTAGTGCTTTGTCATCTAGGAATGCATTTCCGCATTAAGCGGGGTCTTACTGTATTTTAAAATGACGACATGAAAATTTGTTTATAATAATACATCAGCTGAACTTCTAAAAAAATAATAAGAATTGGAAAGTCCTTTTAAATTTCAACAAGTATTTTATGTAATGTCATGAGATACTTCTATTTTGAGCAATGTATTAAATTATTAATTGTTACTTAATGTTATTACATTTATCTAAAATAGTATTTCACATATTTTTGCTGTTCTTTTATTAAGTATTTGTAATAATAATATTATAAACAGATTTTACTCTATCCTAAGTTGTTTAATCTTGAATGTAAAAGTAATGTTTATGCTAATGTTTTTATTGGTGTAGAATTTGATAATATTGAGCTTTATAAGAAACCAAATTATTAAATTCATGTCAGATGACCTTTAAACTTGACAGGTAAACTTTAAAATTTGGAATGAAAATTATTAATTATTTAGGAATGCATCTTAATAAATACGCAAGTTTTTACTACAAATATTTTTTAGTAAGAGCAATCATAATCTATAAAATAAATTCTCTTATAAATTCAAACATAATTATTTAACTCTTAAAATGTACAACTTTTGTGCAAATGTTTCAATGTTAAAATTCATGAAACATTTAAAAAAAAACAAATTCCTTAAGTACAAATTAAAATTATTGCATTAAATAAAATGAATGAAAACATTCAAAATATTAATAATAAACCTAATAATCTTGTCATAACTAAAATAAAATATATACATTACTATAAAAAACCTAATTTTAAAAGGGGAGTAAATGGAATTATGATAAAAAAAATCTAATATTCCAAAAAATAACAAATATTTTAAATTAAAAAAAATATATATATTTAAACAACTCAATAAGAATTAAAAAAAAACAATAGATTAAATTGAGCACTTTAAACTTAGTGAACGTACCACTTTTGATAAAAATATTGACTAGCATCATCCGAACGGCAATGAATCACATAACATTATTAAAAAATATGTAAATTCTCAATACCTAAATTCAACAGCACTAATTAATCATTAACGACTTATAATAAATGCAACAACTGAACAGATTTTTTGGAACTTAACGTAATAAAAATTCACATTCATCTTTCCATTGCAGATACCTTCGACTATTGCTTCTCTTTTAAAAAAGATCTATGTTTGATTTACCTTCCCTAAGGTCATTTCTTCCCGTCTTAAATCTTTTGTCGAAATAAAATTTGATAACATCGATTTTCCTAATCTTATTTCAGTTTTTCGTCGACATTCTGAGGCTTCTTGGTCCCCGGGGAATATGGATGTAATTATGATTATGAAACAATATAGTGATAGATTATCTTCCATAATTATTCAGCTAGCTTTGTTAATTAAATGCAAATGAAAACAAAGCTGGCTTTTAATTAAGTAACTGATGATGTCACATTAGAAAAAAAATTCGGGAATATGTTGCTATCAGAGAGCATAAGCAAGGGTATAACTCTTGCCATTTCATTCTCTATATAATATTACATAAAATGATATTCCTTGTAATGGAATATAAGGGAAACCAAATAGGCCTCAAGCGAGGGTAAACATCACCACCTGTCAGTCGGCATCGTCTGTTTCAACAAAGAAAGATCGCATGTCTAGAGCTGCTGCTAATTCTAACACTGCTCGTCTTAGACTGGGATGATCGAGCAACTCACTCTCAGGCAAAGGAGGATGTGAACGAGGAGAAAAGCCATGACCCTGCGATATATTTTAGCTTTAATTTTAATATATTTGAATTATTTTAAGAATTAAATCTCATGCACTTACCTTAAAGAGCCGATGTAACCTTAAGACAATATGACAAAATATAAATCTTAAAATTAACAAGCGCAAGAAGTCATCTCCATAAAACTGTAAATAAGCTGGATCTATAAATGATAAAGATTATTTTAAATACAGTTTAATTAATTTTTTTTATGGTTAACTTAAAAATGAACCATTTCTAATATGGAAATTACAATGAATTCTTTATCAATTCCAGTAGGGATTAAGTTACAGATTTTTAAACTATATTAATTTAGCTAATTATGCCTGAAAAATTGTAACCAAATATAAAAACTAGATGATTATTCTGTACCAATTTTCACTGAGTAAAACAAATTAACACTCTTACTGCAATAACATATGAGAAATCTTAATATAAAAGTTAAGGTAAGATACTTAAAAGGCAACTTATTACACAAAATCAACACATTAAATTTTTTATTGTCAATCTAGATGATAATTTGGACGATTAAGTAAATAATCTTGATAGTTTAAAATGAAGTTATCATGCATAATGTTAATTTGTAGTAAAATTGATTACAATTTCAAGACTTAATTTAGATTCACAAGAAAGAAAATTATTATAGATACTGTATAAAAGTTCATTCCCTTTCTAAAAGAAGAATATATATTAATTCTTAAATTCAATTTACATCATTTCAGTTCTTTGACTTAAACATTTATAAAAAAATTTCTTTCACAGTCTAATTTTGATGATGCAATTTATATCTGAAAAACAACGACATATTATATGCATTAATAATATACTCAGCTTTCATATAATATATATATATAATTAAAGATAAATCAAGTTTATTTAATTACAAACAATAAATCATTGATTAATTAACCCGACAACAGTCTAGTGACAAATTTTTCTGGTTACTAATAAATTTAATAATTAATTAATTAATTTCCTGATTATTTTATTCTTGGGTAATCTCTGTTAAAGTCAATTTAAAAGTAGATGAAGGCTATACTAATAATTTTTGCAAAATTTCAAGAAATAGCAAATTTCAGCACATGGCTAGGACATATACAGTAGGATCCCAATTACCTGAGACAAACCCATACACAAATACACTACTTTTCTTATAGACAACTTGCATGTGATGTATATCGTAGGGTCGAAACATCACAAACTCACATGCACAACACGTATTGTGCATGTGAGTTTGTGATGTTTCCACTCCAGTTTAACCTCACCTGATACATGACTGAGTAATCAAACTTTAAACGGGAGAAAGTGTAAACTTTGAGTGGTTCACCTAATGAAGAGAGACAGTGTAAGCAAATTTTAAAACAGAATAAAATAAAACAAATTCAACAATTACAAAAAAAAAATAAATAAATAAAAACTACCACACAACTTTTAGAAATGAAGCTATGCAATGGTCAATAAAACTATCATAAAACATACATTTTTAGTCAGTACAATGATACAATGGACCAAGTGTTATAGTTTATTTTAAGGTACTTAAACTTCTATTGTTAGGAAAGGTATGTTTTGAAGAACTCTTTGGATCAAACCAGCCACTTGCTACAAAATTGAGCTTTAAGTAATTTGTATGCTTTTGTATGGTTAAGGGTTAAAAATTGGGTTATTAAGACAAGACGTTGCCATATATTATCTATGGCTGTGAACTACAATTGTGAGAATACGAGCTAGGTTCTGAGTCCTCTGATTGTCAAGTTGGTAGAACTCACTCACAGGGTCACCGGATGGCTTTAAATCGATCAAGTGGGGAGCACGATGGAAAAGTCATTAAGATGTCCTGGTTTCGAGTAATAGACAGACAGACCGGTTTTTAAACTCAACAAATAAAAGTTTAATAAAACTAGAAATCTAAGATATACATATTGCAAATTAGGTGAGTAAATTCGGATAGCATATGATTAAACAATGAGGTGGCTATTTTACTTTCTCGGACGTGAAGAGAGAGAGTTTACAATTTTCTAACAAAATATCTCAATTCTTTGTTGATCGTTGATAAGATGTCAACGATCAACAAAGAACTTGACGAGGATTCACCATTGAAAGAATGGCAAGTGTCTTCTCCGGGGATTTTGTATTTCCCTTTTTGGGCGGATGTCCACTTTAATGGGAGCACTTAAGACCAAATGTTAATTCATGGGAACATTATGACAAATGCCCGGAACTGTCGGTGTTTCATCCTTTTGTGCATTTAGCCTGGGAAAGTGGTCAGGTGATCAGCAGTTGTATAGAACTGAAGGTTGCTTTTGCAGGTGCAAGTTTGACGATGATTTTCGTTGATGTAATGGTGTCGTTTTCCTCTCCTTTCACAATCAGATGTTATCATTTAGCAATTGACTGTTAAAATTCTCATCCATTTGTTGATAGAGAATACCATTTGATCCATATATGGTGCAATGTTTTTCCTATTGTGACAGATGTTATTTAATTTTCTTAAAAATGGATTTTAATATCCCTAAAATCATGGATTTCACACAATTCTCTAAGAATAAATTTGTCATCTTTGTACAGATCAACTCCACTATAGATTAAAATTTTACTTCTGTATCAGTTGGCATTTTGACTAGTAAGAGTTGTTAAATAACCAAGTAAAAAAAATTCCATTGAGTTGTGTAACATTCCCAGCTGTTATGAAATCTTAATTAAAAAATAAATTTTATATTATTAAACATAAATAAAAATGCCACACAAATGTATTTATGAGAGTTTGTTATAGAAACTTTTTATATTTTTAGTTGTTATAAAATGGCAAAAGGCTTAATTTTGAGGGCAGAGATGAATTTTATAAAAAATTTAAATGTTAATAATGAGTAAAATGTTCATTAAGTCTGACCTTACTCATGACATGATCCATGATCTCCTTGATCTTTAACTACCAAAATTTAATAGCATTGATTCCTCTAATATACAAACCTCCCTGAAAAATTTCAAAATTTTCAGAACAAAAATCCTGCCCACTCCACACACACATTCATACATACAGAAAAACAACCTTGAAATTTTTTTGCATTTCTTGATGTTTTAAGGTTCTAGTCCAAAAATGCTCTCAGTTTTTCCTCTGTTATATGCAGGGTGCTTATAATTAAAGTTCCACTTTGAAATGGCCATAAAATGAAAACTACTGGACAAAATGTTATCAAACTTGGTAATAGTGTACAGGACATCATGGATTTTATTTACCATGAAAAAAACGTTCAAAAACTCACCACCAATGGGAAACAGCGCTGTCTGCAATATTGTTAAATGAAATAAGACATGAAGACATCGTTGAAAATGTTTTTAATCGGTTTTAAAACAAAACTGTTTGTGGGGTTACTCCTGATATGCTAAGAGCTACTGTTGAGAACACAGTAATGTGATGTAACTTGCTTATCAAAAATGGTGGACACCACATTGAACATGCTCTGTAACGCATTTTAAAACTGATTATATAAACATTTCCAACAATGTCTTCATGTCTTATTTCGTTTAACAATATTGCAGACAGCGCCATTTCCCGTTGGTGGTGAGTTTTTGAACTTTTTTTCTGCGGGAAATAAAATCCCATGACATCCTGTACACTATTACCAAGTTTGATAACATTCTGTCCAGTAGTTTTCATTTTATGGCCATTTCAAAGTGGAACTTTAATTATAAACACCCTGTATAATAGAGATAGAAAAGTAAAATGTATGTTTTTCCATCTTGTACATACAATAAACATTCAGATGAAAGTCAAACTATATAAACATCCACGAACAGCATGGCACAAATATGGTGCAGGAGGCAGAGAGATGACAATTTGGTCACATGAGATGACATTCATGCAAGTTCTCTATCTTGTTATTCATAAAAAAGTTTAAATAATAATACATATTCCATTTAACTTCAATATGAGACAACCATATTCACATTAAAATGTAACTGAGATGATATATCTTTTTATTCTTAAAACTATTGCATGTTACATATTAGCTGTATAATAAATAATGTAAAAATTGTTGTTCTTATGTATAATTAAAATCCCTAGTGTATAAAAAGATATTTAAAAATAAAATACATTATAAATCTTATATTCATAATTTTTAATCCCAAACATTTGTGGTCCTCCATTTATTCAAATTTTTGTTATCTGAGATAGCACTAATCCACATTACCTCATATAATAGGAGTTCTACTGTATATAAATAATATTGTAAAACTGTTCTATTATTATTATACTTGTTTTTTTATTAATTTTTAATAATCAAATGATAGAGCCAGATTACCTATTATATTAAAACTTATCTAATTAATTATACAGATATCTGTATTATAATTAATCACATATCATCTATATATTGGGTTGTTCGGAAAGTAATTTCGATTTTTTATTACTAGAGGAATTACATGTATTTTACCAGCCAATTTCATTTTAAACCACATTTTCATTATATATTTTGACAGCTGACATTTAAAGGCTTATTTGTAAAAAATTTTGTTTGGTTCTGTACAATTTTTTTTTCTTCGGTGTCCCATCAAATATGGAAAATCGACAGCATCATTTTCAGCATATTTTATTTTTTTATTACCAAAAAATCAAAAATGCTGTTCAAGCAAGAAAAAAATTGTGGTACATGTATGGAGAAGATGCGTTGAGAGAAAGACAATGCCAAAACTGGTTTACAAAATTTCGTTCTATCCTTCAATATTCACCACCTTCTGGATAGCCAGTTGAAGCCAACAAAAACAAAACAAAGGTACTGATTGAAGCAAACTGCCGAATAACAACACGTGAAATCACTAAGAGATTAAATTTGTTGAATTGAACTGTTTATGATTACTTGAAACAAACTGGTTTCATTTCAAAGCTTGATATATGAGTTCCATATGTTCGTAAGGAAATGCTCTCTTTGGTGAGATTTTAAGGAAATTTTTTTTTGAGCTTTTACCAGACAATTTAACGATTAATTCGAAAGCGTACTGCCATCGAGTATACAAACTGAGTAATATCATCAAACAGAAAACGCATCCAGAACTGATCAACAAAACAGGTGTAGTGGTTTACGATGATAATGCCAAATTTCACACAAGTTTGGTAACTCGTCAGAAACTGTTACAGTTTAGATGGGATGTGCTATCACATCAACCATATTTGCTAGATCAGGCACTCTCAGATTATTACTTGTTCCGGTCTTTATAAAATTTTTTAAACTGTTAGACGTTTACTTGAAATGAAAATGTCAAAAATTACTTGGATCTGTTTTTTTCGTAAGCAAACATCAAAACTTTTATAAATGTGGAATCATGCTACTATCAGAAATGATGGCCAAATATTTGACCAAAATGTTCAATAAATAATTCAATAAAATATTTATTTATTATAAAAATATTGTTTTTTTTTTGCCACGGAAAAAATGAAATTACTTTCCAAACAAACCAATAATTAATTTGCCAAGTTCTAGTCTGATAGTTAATCTGGTTCTATCATTTGATTATTAGTATAATTCGGGCTTGGTTTTCTATATAATTAATTCTTATTATTCTTATATTAACTCTCAATGTAATCTTAAAATACACTAGCAGATCCTGCCACATGATGTTGTGGCTCAAAATGTATCTATTATAAATGTATAACACTTTCCCCATGGGAAGAAATTTTTTGAAAAATCCCTTTTTAGTGTATATTCTGTTGATGTACCCTATTAAAATGCAATCAAAAACGCAAAAAACCACATCTAAAATAGTATAATAGAAGCCAACTTCTTCATGGTAAGCCTTAATCCTAACAATCTCCCACCAGTGGGGGGAATTTCGACACGTATATTATATAAAAACATGTGCGTATTCGAATACAACGTTGTGTCAAAATTTCAAAAAAATTGGTAAGAACAAATGAAAATTACATTTTTATTTATATAGATAGATAGAAGATGATCTGCTTTAGTTCATCCTCACAGAAAAGCAAACTTAGGTCACCATACTTGTAGCATCATCTGTTGGACATAAAAGCCTTAACCTAGATGATATCTTTTAATTTATATGAATGTTTACCGGAATAATATACAGCCTATGTCCACCCTGAAGTTCCATTCTAAATATTGGCAAAAGAATTTTTGAAATCGGATGAGTAGTTTTGAAGATTACCTGCTACATCCAAACTTACAAACATTACCTCTTTATAATATTAGTACAGATTAAAAAAATGGTAATATATCATCACAATAATATTTTTAAACAAACCTGTAATAAATTTCAATCAATCCTTGATTTTAGTTAAAAAAACTTCTTTTACATTATTAAATTTCTATGAAAATATCAGCAATTCTGTCTTTATTTCACTGTGTTAGTTTTAAATATCATTTATTTATAACTGATTTAGAAAAATAAGATTATTCAATGTATTGAAAAAATTATGATATTCATTGGTACAATTATAAATAAGATAGATATTTAGAGATTTAACTTCCTAATTATACTGAAAAATAAATAACAACAACAAAGACTAAAAATTTAAGAACATTTATTAATTTCTATTTTGTAATTTGTAGATTAATTAACTAATCGAATAATTATTGGATTAGTTAATCTTAACATGAGCCTTAAACTTCAAAAATATTAAAAGTTACTTTTGAAAAAGTTTTCTAAACAGATAAAAAATGTTGCAAGCACTCTAACATTTATATTATTTTAAAGTAAATTATGATTATGTAATTGCTGATGGGTTATATTTATTTTTAAAGTAATAATCACTGAGTTTTTTCTAAATGATAAAATCAAATAATTTAATAAAATTTACCAATATTTCGAGACCTAGTGAGTAAACGACTAGCTTCACTCATAAATCGATCCATATGGCTTTGACCTTTCTCCCAGAGTGTTATAGGAATATCCACAATATTGCATATAAAACATAATGCCGTTAATGGACTATGAAGAAACAGAGTAAACAGACTGCCATTGTGCTGTTGATCTAAAAGTGTTTTTAAGTTTTTTTTTAAAAAAATTATACATTTAATATTTAAAAAAAAAAAATACATTAAAGAAGTGTACTGAAGCAATTACCACGGAAGGCAGCTGNTGTTTTTAAGTTTTTTTTAAAAAAATTATACATTTAATATTTAAAAAAAAAAAATACATTAAAGAAGTGTACTGAAGCAATTACCACGGAAGGCAGCTGGTACATCTTCGGGTGACATCAGTACCACCACAGGTTGTCCAAAATAACGAGGTATGTGTTGGAAGGCATGACTGTTATCACTGTCGACAATCAGTAATAAAGGTTTACGGGTATAAGGATACAGATCGCCTGGGAATAAACTGGAGGGGAAAAAATTTTGAAATAAGTACTTTTTTGTAAAATTTTTAAAATAAAATAATAAATCCTTACCAATGCATATCTTTCAACTGAATATTTCTTTTATTTGCATGATCTGGTTCACGCTTACTGTTGGTGGCGACACCTCCATAATCGTAACCCACTAAAAAAGTTGAGATTAATATTTATAAATGTAATAATGATACAAACTAATAAAGTAATGAAATTTAAAAAATATTTCTTTATAGTTGAACTGACAATAAGATTTGTTAGACTTTAAAAACATTAAATACATACTGTCATCAGGATGTTTAATATTAGAAAAACTTCCATCAGCTGATAAATATAATAATAATACACCATTTGGCGGAAGTTCTTTAAATCCTGATGCCAAAAACACAAATAATTGACTGAAAGTTGGTTTATACAGAAGATATTTGTGTGGATTTTCACGCTTCAGAGGTCTTTGTTCACCGTTTTCTGGCTGTAAACAATAATTTATATAAATTTACACAAACAAGTTTTAAAACTGATTAATCATAAGTATAACATTACAAAAGGCAATCTTCCAGGTGCAGGAGAGGCATCATACAATTGTGTAGTGTCTTCTTGGGGTTCTCTTTCTAAAGTTTGTAGCATACGAAACATAGGGTCTTACTGTATTTTAAAATGACGACATGAAAATTTGTTTATAATAATACATCAGCTGAACTTCTAAAAAAATAATAAGAATTGGAAAGTCCTTTTAAATTTCAACAAGTATTTTATGTAATGTCATGAGATACTTCTATTTTGAGCAATGTATTAAATTATTAATTGTTACTTAATGTTATTACATTTATCTAAAATAGTATTTCACATATTTTTGCTGTTCTTTTATTAAGTATTTGTAATAATAATATTATAAACAGATTTTACTCTATCCTAAGTTGTTTAATCTTGAATGTAAAAGTAATGTTTATGCTAATGTTTTTATTGGTGTAGAATTTGATAATATTGAGCTTTATAAGAAACCAAATTATTAAATTCATGTCAGATGACCTTTAAACTTGACAGGTAAACTTTAAAATTTGGAATGAAAATTATTAATTATTTAGGAATGCATCTTAATAAATACGCAAGTTTTTACTACAAATATTTTTTAGTAAGAGCAATCATAATCTATAAAATAAATTCTCTTATAAATTCAAACATAATTATTTAACTCTTAAAATGTACAACTTTTGTGCAAATGTTTCAATGTTAAAATTCATGAAACATTTAAAAAAAAACAAATTCCTTAAGTACAAATTAAAATTATTGCATTAAATAAAATGAATGAAAACATTCAAAATATTAATAATAAACCTAATAATCTTGTCATAACTAAAATAAAATATATACATTACTATAAAAAACCTAATTTTAAAAGGGGAGTAAATGGAATTATGATAAAAAAAATCTAATATTCCAAAAAATAACAAATATTTTAAATTAAAAANGAACATTAAAAAACATAAATTGTATGTTTCAATTAACTTTTTAAAAAAAAATAAGCAATGACTATCTTGTGAATAAATACATAAATTTTTGGGTATTTATTCACAAAATATTTACTAATTATTATTTTATTTTTTCACTTATATTAATTATTAATATTTACTAAATTAAAAATTCATAGACTAAGGACAAATTTATCATAAAGTTTTTTAGATTAGCTATGTATTTAAACAGACGTAAGTTAATTTAACACAATCATATTGATAAGATTTATATTAAATAATTTTAAAAATTAAATTAATAAAAAAAATATTGCTTTATTCTTTAAAAGCAGAATTTTCTAAAGAAAACAATTATATTCTTAAAAACTGAATTATGAAAAACATGAAAATTGTATGAAATTTGTAATTTTCAATACAAAATTAGGATAGCTGGATGGCCAAGTGATTAAGATGTCAGTCTACCATTCTGTGAATCCAAAAATGAATCTGAATGGGTCAAAAACCCCAGGAATTTTTTGAGTGTAGTCAGTCCCAGCTATATCAAGCCTTGCCTTCCCATTATGGATGTGGCCAAATCCAAGATGGCTTTATTTAAAGATTCTCTTAGTGCCCACAGGGCAAAATAAATAAATAAACAACTACTTTCAAATTTCTATTATAACATTTTTTTTTACCCTCTAACATCAATTTACAAGTACTTGCTTAATGCAGGACTTGATTAACATGCAAAATTAATTGTGGCAATCCCTTTATAGACATGGCATAAGTTTTAATTAATGCAGCTTTAACAGCCACTTTTCTTAACATAGATACCATATTTGATTAATGCGATTTTGATATATGTGATAACATTGAGGGATTAATTAACCATGTTAATCAACAGATACCCATAGTAGAAATATTACTAATCTTAAACATTAAAGAAAATTAACAAAAATTATACTTCATGATCTATACATATGTAAGAAAAAAAATAAACTCAATGTTAAAGTTGTAAAGAGAAAATAATAATTGAATAATATGTTTGTAAGTGCAAATTTAAAATTAAATAGGTAAACAACTATATATTTTTAGCATTAAAATTCTTGTTTCACTGAAAATGATATTTTGGCACAACTTTGTTTTAAAATAAATTTTCATTGTAATATGAATAGTTACTTTTTAAGAAATTTTAATTGTACCTGGTCACAACAATTGCCTACAATTAGAATTTCTTGAAGAGTTAAATGATTGGATGGCAATTTTTCAATTGGAGGTGTATTCAAAGGACTAAGACGATGCGACAATACAATGGAAGAAGAATCCACATCCATGACATTTACAAGATTATCTGCTTCAATAAATGATCTGATTTCACCTAGTACCAATGACCATTCTAACTGATCTTCTGGTTCATAAGTAGCTGTATAATCATCTATTTGCTTTGCAAGTTCCTAAAAAAAAATTTAAAAAACTAAATTTAATAAACCAAATANTTTAAACAACTCAATAAGAATTAAAAAAAAACAATAGATTAAATTGAGCACTTTAAACTTAGTGAACGTACCACTTTTGATAAAAATATTGACTAGCATCATCCGAACGGCAATGAATCACATAACATTATTAAAAAATATGTAAATTCTCAATACCTAAATTCAACAGCACTAATTAATCATTAACGACTTATAATAAATGCAACAACTGAACAGATTTTTTGGAACTTAACGTAATAAAAATTCACATTCATCTTTCCATTGCAGATACCTTCGACTATTGCTTCTCTTTTAAAAAAGATCTATGTTTGATTTACCTTCCCTAAGGTCATTTCTTCCCGTCTTAAATCTTTTGTCGAAATAAAATTTGATAACATCGATTTTCCTAATCTTATTTCAGTTTTTCGTCGACATTCTGAGGCTTCTTGGTCCCCGGGGAATATGGATGTAATTATGATTATGAAACAATATAGTGATAGATTATCTTCCATAATTATTCAGCTAGCTTTGTTAATTAAATGCAAATGAAAACAAAGCTGGCTTTTAATTAAGTAACTGATGATGTCACATTAGAAAAAAAATTCGGGAATATGTTGCTATCAGAGAGCATAAGCAAGGGTATAACTCTTGCCATTTCATTCTCTATATAATATTACATAAAATGATATTCCTTGTAATGGAATATAAGGGAAACCAAATAGGCCTCAAGCGAGGGTAAACATCACCACCTGTCAGTCGGCATCGTCTGTTTCAACAAAGAAAGATCGCATGTCTAGAGCTGCTGCTAATTCTAACACTGCTCGTCTTAGACTGGGATGATCGAGCAACTCACTCTCAGGCAAAGGAGGATGTGAACGAGGAGAAAAGCCATGACCCTGCGATATATTTTAGCTTTAATTTTAATATATTTGAATTATTTTAAGAATTAAATCTCATGCACTTACCTTAAAGAGCCGATGTAACCTTAAGACAATATGACAAAATATAAATCTTAAAATTAACAAGCGCAAGAAGTCATCTCCATAAAACTGTAAATAAGCTGGATCTATAAATGATAAAGATTATTTTAAATACAGTTTAATTAATTTTTTTTATGGTTAACTTAAAAATGAACCATTTCTAATATGGAAATTACAATGAATTCTTTATCAATTCCAGTAGGGATTAAGTTACAGATTTTTAAACTATATTAATTTAGCTAATTATGCCTGAAAAATTGTAACCAAATATAAAAACTAGATGATTATTCTGTACCAATTTTCACTGAGTAAAACAAATTAACACTCTTACTGCAATAACATATGAGAAATCTTAATATAAAAGTTAAGGTAAGATACTTAAAAGGCAACTTATTACACAAAATCAACACATTAAATTTTTTATTGTCAATCTAGATGATAATTTGGACGATTAAGTAAATAATCTTGATAGTTTAAAATGAAGTTATCATGCATAATGTTAATTTGTAGTAAAATTGATTACAATTTCAAGACTTAATTTAGATTCACAAGAAAGAAAATTATTATAGATACTGTATAAAAGTTCATTCCCTTTCTAAAAGAAGAATATATATTAATTCTTAAATTCAATTTACATCATTTCAGTTCTTTGACTTAAACATTTATAAAAAAATTTCTTTCACAGTCTAATTTTGATGATGCAATTTATATCTGAAAAACAACGACATATTATATGCATTAATAATATACTCAGCTTTCATATAATATATATATATAATTAAAGATAAATCAAGTTTATTTAATTACAAACAATAAATCATTGATTAATTAACCCGACAACAGTCTAGTGACAAATTTTTCTGGTTACTAATAAATTTAATAATTAATTAATTTCCTGATTATTTTATTCTTGGGTAATCTCTGTTAAAGTCAATTTAAAAGTAGATGAAGGCTATACTAATAATTTTTGCAAAATTTCAAGAAATAGCAAATTTCAGCACATGGCTAGGACATATACAGTAGGATCCCAATTACCTGAGACAAACCCATACACAAATACACTACTTTTCTTATAGACAACTTGCATGTGATGTATATCGTAGGGTCGAAACATCACAAACTCACATGCACAACACGTATTGTGCATGTGAGTTTGTGATGTTTCCACTCCAGTTTAACCTCACCTGATACATGACTGAGTAATCAAACTTTAAACGGGAGAAAGTGTAAACTTTGAGTGGTTCACCTAATGAAGAGAGACAGTGTAAGCAAATTTTAAAACAGAATAAAATAAAACAAATTCAACAATTACAAAAAAAAAATAAATAAATAAAAACTACCACACAACTTTTAGAAATGAAGCTATGCAATGGTCAATAAAACTATCATAAAACATACATTTTTAGTCAGTACAATGATACAATGGACCAAGTGTTATAGTTTATTTTAAGGTACTTAAACTTCTATTGTTAGGAAAGGTATGTTTTGAAGAACTCTTTGGATCAAACCAGCCACTTGCTACAAAATTGAGCTTTAAGTAATTTGTATGCTTTTGTATGGTTAAGGGTTAAAAATTGGGTTATTAAGACAAGACGTTGCCATATATTATCTATGGCTGTGAACTACAATTGTGAGAATACGAGCTAGGTTCTGAGTCCTCTGATTGTCAAGTTGGTAGAACTCACTCACAGGGTCACCGGATGGCTTTAAATCGATCAAGTGGGGAGCACGATGGAAAAGTCATTAAGATGTCCTGGTTTCGAGTAATAGACAGACAGACCGGTTTTTAAACTCAACAAATAAAAGTTTAATAAAACTAGAAATCTAAGATATACATATTGCAAATTAGGTGAGTAAATTCGGATAGCATATGATTAAACAATGAGGTGGCTATTTTACTTTCTCGGACGTGAAGAGAGAGAGTTTACAATTTTCTAACAAAATATCTCAATTCTTTGTTGATCGTTGATAAGATGTCAACGATCAACAAAGAACTTGACGAGGATTCACCATTGAAAGAATGGCAAGTGTCTTCTCCGGGGATTTTGTATTTCCCTTTTTGGGCGGATGTCCACTTTAATGGGAGCACTTAAGACCAAATGTTAATTCATGGGAACATTATGACAAATGCCCGGAACTGTCGGTGTTTCATCCTTTTGTGCATTTAGCCTGGGAAAGTGGTCAGGTGATCAGCAGTTGTATAGAACTGAAGGTTGCTTTTGCAGGTGCAAGTTTGACGATGATTTTCGTTGATGTAATGGTGTCGTTTTCCTCTCCTTTCACAATCAGATGTTATCATTTAGCAATTGACTGTTAAAATTCTCATCCATTTGTTGATAGAGAATACCATTTGATCCATATATGGTGCAATGTTTTTCCTATTGTGACAGATGTTATTTAATTTTCTTAAAAATGGATTTTAATATCCCTAAAATCATGGATTTCACACAATTCTCTAAGAATAAATTTGTCATCTTTGTACAGATCAACTCCACTATAGATTAAAATTTTACTTCTGTATCAGTTGGCATTTTGACTAGTAAGAGTTGTTAAATAACCAAGTAAAAAAAATTCCATTGAGTTGTGTAACATTCCCAGCTGTTATGAAATCTTAATTAAAAAATAAATTTTATATTATTAAACATAAATAAAAATGCCACACAAATGTATTTATGAGAGTTTGTTATAGAAACTTTTTATATTTTTAGTTGTTATAAAATGGCAAAAGGCTTAATTTTGAGGGCAGAGATGAATTTTATAAAAAATTTAAATGTTAATAATGAGTAAAATGTTCATTAAGTCTGACCTTACTCATGACATGATCCATGATCTCCTTGATCTTTAACTACCAAAATTTAATAGCATTGATTCCTCTAATATACAAACCTCCCTGAAAAATTTCAAAATTTTCAGAACAAAAATCCTGCCCACTCCACACACACATTCATACATACAGAAAAACAACCTTGAAATTTTTTTGCATTTCTTGATGTTTTAAGGTTCTAGTCCAAAAATGCTCTCAGTTTTTCCTCTGTTATATGCAGGGTGCTTATAATTAAAGTTCCACTTTGAAATGGCCATAAAATGAAAACTACTGGACAAAATGTTATCAAACTTGGTAATAGTGTACAGGACATCATGGATTTTATTTACCATGAAAAAAACGTTCAAAAACTCACCACCAATGGGAAACAGCGCTGTCTGCAATATTGTTAAATGAAATAAGACATGAAGACATCGTTGAAAATGTTTTTAATCGGTTTTAAAACAAAACTGTTTGTGGGGTTACTCCTGATATGCTAAGAGCTACTGTTGAGAACACAGTAATGTGATGTAACTTGCTTATCAAAAATGGTGGACACCACATTGAACATGCTCTGTAACGCATTTTAAAACTGATTATATAAACATTTCCAACAATGTCTTCATGTCTTATTTCGTTTAACAATATTGCAGACAGCGCCATTTCCCGTTGGTGGTGAGTTTTTGAACTTTTTTTCTGCGGGAAATAAAATCCCATGACATCCTGTACACTATTACCAAGTTTGATAACATTCTGTCCAGTAGTTTTCATTTTATGGCCATTTCAAAGTGGAACTTTAATTATAAACACCCTGTATAATAGAGATAGAAAAGTAAAATGTATGTTTTTCCATCTTGTACATACAATAAACATTCAGATGAAAGTCAAACTATATAAACATCCACGAACAGCATGGCACAAATATGGTGCAGGAGGCAGAGAGATGACAATTTGGTCACATGAGATGACATTCATGCAAGTTCTCTATCTTGTTATTCATAAAAAAGTTTAAATAATAATACATATTCCATTTAACTTCAATATGAGACAACCATATTCACATTAAAATGTAACTGAGATGATATATCTTTTTATTCTTAAAACTATTGCATGTTACATATTAGCTGTATAATAAATAATGTAAAAATTGTTGTTCTTATGTATAATTAAAATCCCTAGTGTATAAAAAGATATTTAAAAATAAAATACATTATAAATCTTATATTCATAATTTTTAATCCCAAACATTTGTGGTCCTCCATTTATTCAAATTTTTGTTATCTGAGATAGCACTAATCCACATTACCTCATATAATAGGAGTTCTACTGTATATAAATAATATTGTAAAACTGTTCTATTATTATTATACTTATTTTTTTATTAATTTTTAATAATGAAATGATAGAGCCAGATTACCTATTATATTAAAACTTATCTAATTAATTATACAGATATCTGTATTATAATTAATCACATATCATCTATATATTGGGTTGTTCGGAAAGTAATTTCGATTTTTTATTACTAGAGGAATTACATGTATTTTACCAGCCAATTTCATTTTAAACCACATTTTCATTATATATTTTGACAGCTGACATTTAAAGGCTTATTTGTAAAAAATTTTGTTTGGTTCTGTACAATTTTTTTTTCTTCGGTGTCCCATCAAATATGGAAAATCGACAGCATCATTTTCAGCATATTTTATTTTTTTATTACCAAAAAATCAAAAATGCTGTTCAAGCAAGAAAAAAATTGTGGTACATGTATGGAGAAGATGCGTTGAGAGAAAGACAATGCCAAAACTGGTTTACAAAATTTCGTTCTATCCTTCAATATTCACCACCTTCTGGATAGCCAGTTGAAGCCAACAAAAACAAAACAAAGGTACTGATTGAAGCAAACTGCCGAATAACAACACGTGAAATCACTAAGAGATTAAATTTGTTGAATTGAACTGTTTATGATTACTTGAAACAAACTGCTTTCATTTCAAAGCTTGATATATGAGTTCCATATGTTCGTAAGGAAATGCTCTCTTTGGTGAGATTTTAAGGAAATTTTTTTTTGAGCTTTTACCAGACAATTTAACGATTAATTCGAAAGCGTACTGCCATCGAGTATACAAACTGAGTAATATCATCAAACAGAAAACGCATCCAGAACTGATCAACAAAACAGGTGTAGTGGTTTACGATGATAATGCCAAATTTCACACAAGTTTGGTAACTCGTCAGAAACTGTTACAGTTTAGATGGGATGTGCTATCACATCAACCATATTTGCTAGATCAGGCACTCTCAGATTATTACTTGTTCCGGTCTTTATAAAATTTTTTAAACTGTTAGACGTTTACTTGAAATGAAAATGTCAAAAATTACTTGGATCTGTTTTTTTCGTAAGCAAACATCAAAACTTTTATAAATGTGGAATCATGCTACTACCAGAAATGATGGCCAAATATTTGACCAAAATGTTCAATAAATAATTCAATAAAATATTTATTTATTATAAAAATATTGTTTTTTTTTTGCCACGGAAAAAATGAAATTACTTTCCAAACAAACCAATAATTAATTTGCCAAGTTCTAGTCTGATAGTTAATCTGGTTCTATCATTTGATTATTAGTATAATTCGGGCTTGGTTTTCTATATAATTAATTCTTATTATTCTTATATTAACTCTCAATGTAATCTTAAAATACACTAGCAGATCCTGCCACATGATGTTGTGGCTCAAAATGTATCTATTATAAATGTATAACACTTTCCCCATGGGAAGAAATTTTTTGAAAAATCCCTTTTTAGTGTATATTCTGTTGATGTACCCTATTAAAATGCAATCAAAAACGCAAAAAACCACATCTAAAATAGTATAATAGAAGCCAACTTCTTCATGGTAAGCCTTAATCCTAACAATCTCCCACCAGTGGGGGGAATTTCGACACGTATATTATATAAAAACATGTGCGTATTCGAATACAACGTTGTGTCAAAATTTCAAAAAAATTGGTAAGAACAAATGAAAATTACATTTTTATTTATATAGATAGATAGAAGATGATCTGCTTTAGTTCATCCTCACAGAAAAGCAAACTTAGGTCACCATACTTGTAGCATCATCTGTTGGACATAAAAGCCTTAACCTAGATGATATCTTTTAATTTATATGAATGTTTACCGGAATAATATACAGCCTATGTCCACCCTGAAGTTCCATTCTAAATATTGGCAAAAGAATTTTTGAAATCGGATGAGTAGTTTTGAAGATTACCTGCTACATCCAAACTTACAAACATTACCTCTTTATAATATTAGTACAGATTAAAAAAATGGTAATATATCATCACAATAATATTTTTAAACAAACCTGTAATAAATTTCAATCAATCCTTGATTTTAGTTAAAAAAACTTCTTTTACATTATTAAATTTCTATGAAAATATCAGCAATTCTGTCTTTATTTCACTGTGTTAGTTTTAAATATCATTTATTTATAACTGATTTAGAAAAATAAGATTATTCAATGTATTGAAAAAATTATGATATTCATTGGTACAATTATAAATAAGATAGATATTTAGAGATTTAACTTCCTAATTATACTGAAAAATAAATAACAACAACAAAGACTAAAAATTTAAGAACATTTATTAATTTCTATTTTGTAATTTGTAGATTAATTAACTAATCGAATAATTATTGGATTAGTTAATCTTAACATGAGCCTTAAACTTCAAAAATATTAAAAGTTACTTTTGAAAAAGTTTTCTAAACAGATAAAAAATGTTGCAAGCACTCTAACATTTATATTATTTTAAAGTAAATTATGATTATGTAATTGCTGATGGGTTATATTTATTTTTAAACTAATAATCACTGAGTTTTTTCTAAATGATAAAATCAAATAATTTAATAAAATTTACCAATATTTCGAGACCTAGTGAGTAAACGACTAGCTTCACTCATAAATCGATCCATATGGCTTTGACCTTTCTCCCAGAGTGTTATAGGAATATCCACAATATTGCATATAAAACATAATGCCGTTAATGGACTATGAAGAAACAGAGTAAACAGACTGCCATTGTGCTGTTGATCTAAAAGTGTTTTTAAGTTTTTTTTTAAAAAAATTATACATTTAATATTTAAAAAAAAAAAATACATTAAAGAAGTGTACTGAAGCAATTACCACGGAAGGCAGCTGGTACATCTTCGGGTGACATCAGTACCACCACAGGTTGTCCAAAATAACGAGGTATGTGTTGGAAGGCATGACTGTTATCACTGTCGACAATCAGTAATAAAGGTTTACGGGTATAAGGATACAGATCGCCTGGGAATAAACTGGAGGGGAAAAAATTTTGAAATAAGTACTTTTTTGTAAAATTTTTAAAATAAAATAATAAATCCTTACCAATGCATATCTTTCAACTGAATATTTCTTTTATTTGCATGATCTGGTTCACGCTTACTGTTGGTGGCGACACCTCCATAATCGTAACCCACTAAAAAAGTTGAGATTAATATTTATAAATGTAATAATGATACAAACTAATAAAGTAATGAAATTTAAAAAATATTTCTTTATAGTTGAACTGACAATAAGATTTGTTAGACTTTAAAAACATTAAATACATACTGTCATCAGGATGTTTAATATTAGAAAAACTTCCATCAGCTGATAAATATAATAATAATACACCATTTGGCGGAAGTTCTTTAAATCCTGATGCCAAAAACACAAATAATTGACTGAAAGTTGGTTTATACAGAAGATATTTGTGTGGATTTTCACGCTTCAGAGGTCTTTGTTCACCGTTTTCTGGCTGTAAACAATAATTTATATAAATTTACACAAACAAGTTTTAAAACTGATTAATCATAAGTATAACATTACAAAAGGCAATCTTCCAGGTGCAGGAGAGGCATCATACAATTGTGTAGTGTCTTCTTGGGGTTCTCTTTCTAAAGTTTGTAGCATACGAAACATATCTAAAGTAAGTTCGCTAAATTTTACCTGAAAATTCAATTTATATTTTTAATTTATTTAATTCTTGTGAAATTAAACAAAATTATAATAATAATTAACTTAAATTTATATGTTATAACTTATTTATCATCAAATAACATTAAAAAACATAAATTGTATGTTTCAATTAACTTTTTAAAAAAAAATAAGCAATGACTATCTTGTGAATAAATACATAAATTTTTGGGTATTTATTCACAAAATATTTACTAATTATTATTTTATTTTTTCACTTATATTAATTATTAATATTTACTAAATTAAAAATTCATAGACTAAGGACAAATTTATCATAAAGTTTTTTAGATTAGCTATGTATTTAAACAGACGTAAGTTAATTTAACACAATCATATTGATAAGATTTATATTAAATAATTTTAAAAATTAAATTAATAAAAAAAATATTGCTTTATTCTTTAAAAGCAGAATTTTCTAAAGAAAACAATTATATTCTTAAAAACTGAATTATGAAAAACATGAAAATTGTATGAAATTTGTAATTTTCAATACAAAATTAGGATAGCTGGATGGCCAAGTGATTAAGATGTCAGTCTACCATTCTGTGAATCCAAAAATGAATCTGAATGGGTCAAAAACCCCAGGAATTTTTTGAGTGTAGTCAGTCCCAGCTATATCAAGCCTTGCCTTCCCATTATGGATGTGGCCAAATCCAAGATGGCTTTATTTAAAGATTCTCTTAGTGCCCACAGGGCAAAATAAATAAATAAACAACTACTTTCAAATTTCTATTATAACATTTTTTTTTACCCTCTAACATCAATTTACAAGTACTTGCTTAATGCAGGACTTGATTAACATGCAAAATTAATTGTGGCAATCCCTTTATAGACATGGCATAAGTTTTAATTAATGCAGCTTTAACAGCCACTTTTCTTAACATAGATACCATATTTGATTAATGCGATTTTGATATATGTGATAACATTGAGGGATTAATTAACCATGTTAATCAACAGATACCCATAGTAGAAATATTACTAATCTTAAACATTAAAGAAAATTAACAAAAATTATACTTCATGATCTATACATATGTAAGAAAAAAAATAAACTCAATGTTAAAGTTGTAAAGAGAAAATAATAATTGAATAATATGTTTGTAAGTGCAAATTTAACCCTTAACTGGTTTTATGGGGGCCGTGCAGCCCCCATGTGTCATATTTTTACAATTTTCTAAAAATCTAAATATCGTGCGCAGCTGCCATTTTATGTAATCTCATTACGTCGTGACTCTTAGCTAGTGCCAAATGTTCGGCCCTGTAGCACTTACAAGGATGGAGCTACGTACCTTCTGGGGGCCGCGCAGCCCCCACGATACCAGTTACGTTGGTTTTTTGTGGAAATGTGTTTTTATATTTTTTTTATTTTTACAATTATTTAGCAAAGATATCTCAATCTTTCATCAAAAATTCAAAATGACTACCAAAGAATCATTTGAACTGCTAATAGAAGATAATATTATACAAATTGCTAGATCAAGCCGAAATCTCCTGAAAAGAGTATGTTGTCATTTTGTGCTGGAAAAAAAGATGGTAAATATGCTACTAAGTGCAACAGTTGTTTGAAATTTATTTGCAAAGTGCATAGTACTACAAAAATACTATGTGATAACTGTCAAGACTGAACTACGTAATTGCGTTAAAATGATCCTGAGTGTTAAAAATAGAAGTGATTATATTATCTGTGGTTTTTTAACAAATGATAGTTAGAGGCTATAAGAGATACTTTTTTATAAGATTAGTTTCTTAAGAATAAGAAAACAAAATATCTTTGGTAAAAACTTACAATAGGGTAGATTTTTGTATTGTTAAAAAAAGCATACACCAAAAGTTGTAACAATTTTGTGATTTCTTGTAATAATTAAGTAAAGAAAATTATATAAATAAATAAAAGTTGATTATACTAAAGAAGGGTTCCATTTAGCATTTATGCTCTTTTAAACTGTCACATTGTTAAACTTGCTCTCTAAAGGCAAATTTTGCTTGGGGGCTGCGCAGCCCCCATGATACCAGTTATGATTGTAAAATTTACGAAACCAGTTAAGGGTTAAAATTAAATAGGTAAACAACTATATATTTTTAGCATTAAAATTCTTGTTTCACTGAAAATGATATTTTGGCACAACTTTGTTTTAAAATAAATTTTCATTGTAATATGAATAGTTACTTTTTAAGAAATTTTAATTGTACCTGGTCACAACAATTGCCTACAATTAGAATTTCTTGAAGAGTTAAATGATTGGATGGCAATTTTTCAATTGGAGGTGTATTCAAAGGACTAAGACGATGCGACAATACAATGGAAGAAGAATCCACATCCATGACATTTACAAGATTATCTGCTTCAATAAATGATCTGATTTCACCTAGTACCAATGACCATTCTAACTGATCTTCTGGTTCATAAGTAGCTGTATAATCATCTATTTGCTTTGCAAGTTCCTAAAAAAAAATTTAAAAAACTAAATTTAATAAACCAAATACTGCTTCTTATATTTATTATATATTAGAATTAATTAGTTAAACTAGGTACAGTACATTCTGAAACAAAATTAAATAATGCCAATAAAATAACTGTAAGCAAATAGATACTTTCTATTCAAACAATTCTAATATTTATTTAACTGAAATTAATAGTAGAATAAAACAGTCTACTTGCTTCAATTTTGAAAATGTGCGTATTTGTCAAATCATAAATCTATATACGAGGATGATTCAAAAAGTAAGGTAACAAGAGCTCTCCTGTACAAATTTTATTTCACAGGCAGATATAGTAATACAGATTATTACGGCACTGGTACATATTATTTTTCAACATAGTCACCATGCTTGTCCAAACATTTATTCTAATGATATACCAAGGCATCGATGCCGGCAGAGAAGAAATCTGCGTCAAGTCCCTTCAGCCATGCCATGACAGCTTGCTGAACTTCCATATCAGTTTGGAATCACATACCACCCAGATGCTTCTTCAATGGTCCAAAGAGATGGAAATCACAGGGTGCTAGGTTGGGGCTATAAGGAGGATGTTCCAGTACCTCCCACTTGAAGCACTGTAAAAATTCAGTTTTCTCAGTTTGCACATCTGTCTTGCCTTTATCGAACTTAGTGAACAAACCCACACCTGTTTTTGTGACATGACATTACCACCCATACACCTCAACAAATTGACGATGAATTTCTACTTACGAGTTGCCCTTCAGACTGAATCACACTACATACTTCCATATTTAACCACATTTCCGTGAACACAGCCATTTTCAAAATGATATTGTGAGAGTCTGATGCAACATTTGCACCATCTAACGCCTGTGTGATAAAGTTGTGGTCTTCTGCTGCTGCCCTAATGGGAAATTCAAACAAGAGCAGGAATATGACACTCTTTGTTATCTTACTTTTGTACATAAATGAGGACATATGTTTGTTCGCTATGCACACCTAGACTATTTGACCAACTGCTACAAAATTTGGCAGTTATGTTCACATATTTCTAACTTAATATGATATTATCAATTAATTTCTGTCTATATTTTTGCCGGCATTACATGTAGCACCATCTATTGACAAAAAATTTAAGAAAATATATATTATATTCACTGAATTACTACAACAATGATATAGCGTAAAATCGATGTACCATCATGTCATTATGCCACAGATAGCACATAACACTTGCCTGCGTGGAGTGTAGTAGTGTTTTCCCCCTGTATATCATACTTTTAGCAATAGAGTCATATCTAACATTTGTGTATTAGCATATTGATACTATTAAATGTTAGTGGTTAAAGATCAAGGGGTGAGGAAATAGGTTAGGTCTCATATGTTGAGTGATGGTCAGACTTAAGATTTTACTCATTATTAGCATTTATAAGTTTTTTAATAAAGTGAATCACTACCCTAAAAATTAAGCTTNTGAAATCTTAATTAAAAAATAAATTTTATATTATTAAACATAAATAAAAATGCCACACAAATGTATTTATGAGAGTTTGTTATAGAAACTTTTTATATTTTTAGTTGTTATAAAATGGCAAAAGGCTTAATTTTGAGGGCAGAGATGAATTTTATAAAAAATTTAAATGTTAATAATGAGTAAAATGTTCATTAAGTCTGACCTTACTCATGACATGATCCATGATCTCCTTGATCTTTAACTACCAAAATTTAATAGCATTGATTCCTCTAATATACAAACCTCCCTGAAAAATTTCAAAATTTTCAGAACAAAAATCCTGCCCACTCCACACACACATTCATACATACAGAAAAACAACCTTGAAATTTTTTTGCATTTCTTGATGTTTTAAGGTTCTAGTCCAAAAATGCTCTCAGTTTTTCCTCTGTTATATGCAGGGTGCTTATAATTAAAGTTCCACTTTGAAATGGCCATAAAATGAAAACTACTGGACAAAATGTTATCAAACTTGGTAATAGTGTACAGGACATCATGGATTTTATTTACCATGAAAAAAACGTTCAAAAACTCACCACCAATGGGAAACAGCGCTGTCTGCAATATTGTTAAATGAAATAAGACATGAAGACATCGTTGAAAATGTTTTTAATCGGTTTTAAAACAAAACTGTTTGTGGGGTTACTCCTGATATGCTAAGAGCTACTGTTGAGAACACAGTAATGTGATGTAACTTGCTTATCAAAAATGGTGGACACCACATTGAACATGCTCTGTAACGCATTTTAAAACTGATTATATAAACATTTCCAACAATGTCTTCATGTCTTATTTCGTTTAACAATATTGCAGACAGCGCCATTTCCCGTTGGTGGTGAGTTTTTGAACTTTTTTTCTGCGGGAAATAAAATCCCATGACATCCTGTACACTATTACCAAGTTTGATAACATTCTGTCCAGTAGTTTTCATTTTATGGCCATTTCAAAGTGGAACTTTAATTATAAACACCCTGTATAATAGAGATAGAAAAGTAAAATGTATGTTTTTCCATCTTGTACATACAATAAACATTCAGATGAAAGTCAAACTATATAAACATCCACGAACAGCATGGCACAAATATGGTGCAGGAGGCAGAGAGATGACAATTTGGTCACATGAGATGACATTCATGCAAGTTCTCTATCTTGTTATTCATAAAAAAGTTTAAATAATAATACATATTCCATTTAACTTCAATATGAGACAACCATATTCACATTAAAATGTAACTGAGATGATATATCTTTTTATTCTTAAAACTATTGCATGTTACATATTAGCTGTATAATAAATAATGTAAAAATTGTTGTTCTTATGTATAATTAAAATCCCTAGTGTATAAAAAGATATTTAAAAATAAAATACATTATAAATCTTATATTCATAATTTTTAATCCCAAACATTTGTGGTCCTCCATTTATTCAAATTTTTGTTATCTGAGATAGCACTAATCCACATTACCTCATATAATAGGAGTTCTACTGTATATAAATAATATTGTAAAACTGTTCTATTATTATTATACTTATTTTTTTATTAATTTTTAATAATGAAATGATAGAGCCAGATTACCTATTATATTAAAACTTATCTAATTAATTATACAGATATCTGTATTATAATTAATCACATATCATCTATATATTGGGTTGTTCGGAAAGTAATTTCGATTTTTTATTACTAGAGGAATTACATGTATTTTACCAGCCAATTTCATTTTAAACCACATTTTCATTATATATTTTGACAGCTGACATTTAAAGGCTTATTTGTAAAAAATTTTGTTTGGTTCTGTACAATTTTTTTTTCTTCGGTGTCCCATCAAATATGGAAAATCGACAGCATCATTTTCAGCATATTTTATTTTTTTATTACCAAAAAATCAAAAATGCTGTTCAAGCAAGAAAAAAATTGTGGTACATGTATGGAGAAGATGCGTTGAGAGAAAGACAATGCCAAAACTGGTTTACAAAATTTCGTTCTATCCTTCAATATTCACCACCTTCTGGATAGCCAGTTGAAGCCAACAAAAACAAAACAAAGGTACTGATTGAAGCAAACTGCCGAATAACAACACGTGAAATCACTAAGAGATTAAATTTGTTGAATTGAACTGTTTATGATTACTTGAAACAAACTGCTTTCATTTCAAAGCTTGATATATGAGTTCCATATGTTCGTAAGGAAATGCTCTCTTTGGTGAGATTTTAAGGAAATTTTTTTTTGAGCTTTTACCAGACAATTTAACGATTAATTCGAAAGCGTACTGCCATCGAGTATACAAACTGAGTAATATCATCAAACAGAAAACGCATCCAGAACTGATCAACAAAACAGGTGTAGTGGTTTACGATGATAATGCCAAATTTCACACAAGTTTGGTAACTCGTCAGAAACTGTTACAGTTTAGATGGGATGTGCTATCACATCAACCATATTTGCTAGATCAGGCACTCTCAGATTATTACTTGTTCCGGTCTTTATAAAATTTTTTAAACTGTTAGACGTTTACTTGAAATGAAAATGTCAAAAATTACTTGGATCTGTTTTTTTCGTAAGCAAACATCAAAACTTTTATAAATGTGGAATCATGCTACTACCAGAAATGATGGCCAAATATTTGACCAAAATGTTCAATAAATAATTCAATAAAATATTTATTTATTATAAAAATATTGTTTTTTTTTTGCCACGGAAAAAATGAAATTACTTTCCAAACAAACCAATAATTAATTTGCCAAGTTCTAGTCTGATAGTTAATCTGGTTCTATCATTTGATTATTAGTATAATTCGGGCTTGGTTTTCTATATAATTAATTCTTATTATTCTTATATTAACTCTCAATGTAATCTTAAAATACACTAGCAGATCCTGCCACATGATGTTGTGGCTCAAAATGTATCTATTATAAATGTATAACACTTTCCCCATGGGAAGAAATTTTTTGAAAAATCCCTTTTTAGTGTATATTCTGTTGATGTACCCTATTAAAATGCAATCAAAAACGCAAAAAACCACATCTAAAATAGTATAATAGAAGCCAACTTCTTCATGGTAAGCCTTAATCCTAACAATCTCCCACCAGTGGGGGGAATTTCGACACGTATATTATATAAAAACATGTGCGTATTCGAATACAACGTTGTGTCAAAATTTCAAAAAAATTGGTAAGAACAAATGAAAATTACATTTTTATTTATATAGATAGATAGAAGATGATCTGCTTTAGTTCATCCTCACAGAAAAGCAAACTTAGGTCACCATACTTGTAGCATCATCTGTTGGACATAAAAGCCTTAACCTAGATGATATCTTTTAATTTATATGAATGTTTACCGGAATAATATACAGCCTATGTCCACCCTGAAGTTCCATTCTAAATATTGGCAAAAGAATTTTTGAAATCGGATGAGTAGTTTTGAAGATTACCTGCTACATCCAAACTTACAAACATTACCTCTTTATAATATTAGTACAGATTAAA